AGCAAATCCCACAAGGTATGCAGGCCTCTGGGCTGTCACTTTCAAAATGTCAGCAGGGCCGGGGGCAAAGGTCAGGGGTCCGAGGGCCTGAGCACCTCAGCCAGCTGTGGCGGAGCGGCCCCGAGCCGGCAGGACGCCTGACCAGAGAGGTCTCCTGTAAGTTGCACCCGCCGAGGCCAAGATAAAGGTTGCCAGCAGGAGTGGAAGGCAGGACAATGACGCCGGGCCAGTGCGCGGGGCTGGAACAAATCTACGGAGGCACCCCGGGATCCTCATTTGTGGAACTAATTGGACCCCGATAATGGGGGGGGAGAAGCATCGTGCACGCTGAACCTGCTTCTACAGCCGTTGCTGAACGCAAGCAAAAAATAAGTCTGCCCCAAAGAGACAGTGCCTTGTTTCAAACCCAACGGGGTAGAAGGAAGTGGTACCACCCAAAACCATCTAGCTTGTCCATGAGCTCTCGAGAGCAGCAGATCCCCAAGACCTACTTCCATGATGCAGTGACCGTGTCCTGGCAGGAATGGATACGCTCCTGTTTGTCCAGGGGCTCAGGCAGCAAGGCATCCAGTGGGTGCCCACGGCAGGCCCCGAGAGAGCCCTCCAGATGTGCTAGGACGCCCACTTGCCTGTGCCAGCTGGGGTCACAGGGAGAGGCAATTCCACTACAACTGCAGGAAGCATAACACGTTCTGTGATAAGGCGCACAGCGAGCATTTGTGAGCTCAGATTTCCAGCAAGGACAGGAAGCAGAACCGGGCAGCACCCTCTGCTTTTCAGAGACCAAAGATCTCAATATTATAGGCTGCTGCATTCAGACAATGCACAAGGTGGTTCTAGGAACAAACCATGTTCTGGGTTTGCACGATGCAAGGAATAACCTGCCAAAAATGCAACCCCCTCCCTCCAACCTTAATTTTGGTGCCACCTACTCCAGAGGAGTGCTGGGGAGCACAAATGTGGTGATAAATAGAATAGCTTGTGAGTAGGGAGGCTATATAAAGGTGATGATTGATAGATAGATAGATAGATAGATGGATAGATAGATAGATAGATAGGTAGGTAGGTAGGTAGGTAGGTAGGTAGGTAGGTAGGTA